CTTCCGATCAAGCATCCTCGTGTCATTTGCGTGCACGATCACTAGCCAGCTTAGCTTCCGCTTCAGTCCACGATTTGGTCCCGAAATATATCTCGTAGTTTTGACGATCAACTCTGGTCTTTTGCATTGCCTTTGGTCCATGTAAAACGAATACTATAGAAGTTGTTGGTATAAGATTTTGCGTAGTATACTCCGTACAATTCGCGAACGTCAATACCGTCAACCTCTAAACTGGTGAGCCCAACCGCGAACTCCATCTTCGCTTAATACGCAGATAAACCCGGTGAGTTCGTTCCTTTTGTATATGTTCTTGTACTATATTGTAATCGATATTCATTTCGTCATGAGTGATCCTAGTCCCAAGGTCATTCCTATTCGCTCAACTGCCGAAACCACTCAGCTCGTACCATGCTGGCCAGATAATGCTGAAACGTGGTTTCAGATAGCTGAATCTGATTTTTGTGAGCATGGGATAACCGATCAACGTTTAAAGTTCCACGCAGCTATTCACTCCCTACCGCGGGAATTCAGCAAGTGTGTAACTGTACAGATGTCGAGTCCCGAGGTAAGTAACTCGTACGAGTTGCTCAAAGCATCCCTCCTCAGGAGAAACGTACTCACGGATCGACAACGTCTGGACGAATTATTTCGTAATATCAAGTTATGGGATCAGTCAGCCGTGAGCATGCTGACAAGAATGAGAGAAGTTGTTGGCCAAAGTCAGTTCGATGAAGGACTTTTCAGAGAACTCTTCTTATCCAAGCTGCCACAGTCCGTGCAGACTGTACTTGTGACACCTCAGGGTGTTATTAAGAATGACTTAGCTATTTCTGTAGATAAGATTCTAGAAATAACTAAACGGTCAGTTCCTGAAATATGCTCGGTGGCGAAACACACTTCAGATAAGGATACTGCAGTGATAGAGTTATGCAATTCCATCCGGCAGATGTTTAGGTCAACCATGCCTTGTGATTCCTCTTACCGTCGTCCGAAATCCCCTCAACGGCGAAACTCACCTGGTCGATCTAAGTCCAAGCCACGTTCTCTGAAAAAACCCTGACTGGTGCTGGTACCACAATATTTATCGCCAGGAAGCGAAATGTTTCCATAAACTTTGTAACTTCGGAAATGTCTCAAAGTCTGTGGGAAACTATCACGCTGGCACGCGTTAGTGGCAACCGCCATCGGTGGCACTAGCCGCCTACTTTGCACCCATGATGTGATCAGCCAGACTCGATATTTAGTCGACACAGGCGCCGAAGTCAGCGTCCTTCCTGCCACGGCAGTAGATCGACAGAAGGAACCCACCTTCAACTTACAGGCTGCAAATGGAAAACCGATCGCAACTTTTAGTAGGAAATACGTTCACCTGAACGTAGGTTTACGCAAACTAATTCAATGGATTTTCCTTCCCACTGACGTCACAATGCCCATCATTGACACGGACCTACTTAATCACCATGATTTACTCGTAGACGACCGTCGAAAACGACTGACTGACAATACTACTGGTCTGTCTATCAAAGGCATCACCTACACAGACCCCAGCTTGTCACTAGTTAAGATGAAAGCAATACTTGATCCAAATTTTCAACCGATTTTTGATACATATCCACAACTTAATTGCCCGTCTAACGATCTACCGTGCATAATCAGCAATGTTATGCACCATATCATAACCTCAGGACAGCCCGTGACATCTAGAGCACGACGACTTGCTCCTGACAAACTAAGAATCGCTAGAAATGAGATCAACAATATGCTCACCCTTGGCATCATTCGACCATCGAATAGCTCATAGGCATCCCCATTGCATATGGTACCGAAAAAGGATAGCAACGATTGGCGACCCACTGGTGATTACCGGCGAGTGAATGCCAAAACAACCCCTGATTGCTATCCATTCCCTCATATAAACGACTTGACGGCGACTTTATCTGGCACGGCTATATTCTCTAAAATCGACGTGATTAAGGCGTAAAACCGAATCCCGATAGCACGAGAAGATATTCCGAAAACGGCTATCATTACGTCTTTCGGACGTTTTGAATTTCTACGTATGCCATTTGGTTTCCGGAATGCAGCCCAAACATTCCAACACTTCATCGGTGAAGTATTTCGCGGTCTCAACTTTGTATACACATACTTAGACGACTGCCTCATTGCCAGTCCAGACAAGGAAACTCACCTTAGGCACTTGGACCTGGCAATGGAAAGATTACGCCAACATGGTGTTACCATCAATATTCAAAAGTATCAGATAGCCATTGACTCACTCGAATTTCTCGGCTACTGCAAGGGCATTCATCCACTGGCTACTAAAGTCGAGGCGATACTGAACTTTCCAGAGCCACAGACAGTGAAAAGTCTCCGCAATTTTAACGGCATGATAAGTTAACAAAGAGTGGCAACCACTCGCCTTTTTCTCGAGGCATGTTCAATTAGCTAAAACGAGGTAAAGCACATTCGGTAGAGAACTTCTGGCTATGTACTGTGCTATACGTCATTTTCGCCATTCAGTGGAGGGTCGTGAATTCATAAATTTCACTGATCACAAACCTTTAACGTACTCTCTGAACTCAACCTCAGATAAGTATTCACCTAGGGAATAACGACAACTAGATTACGTTTCACAGTTTACATTGGATAGTCGCCATGTATCCGGAGTGAACAACACTGTGGCAGATGCCTTGTCGCGCGTTTGTTCCCTCACCCGAATCGACGGCATAGACCTTATAAGACTGTTTCGTCTTCAAAAAGAAGATACCGAGCTTCAGCATGAGTTGTCAAAAACAAAAATGAAATTCGCCGAGAAACACTTAGGTATGGGAAGAGATACTGTTCTATGCGACATTTCCACTAGTACTCCTCGCCCCATCGTGCCTAAAGGTTATCACCTTAACGTCTTAAAAATGTTGCATGGCTAATCTCACCCAGGTATTCGAACTACTGTCAAGCTCGTAACTAGTTGGTTTTGTTGGCCTGGCATTAATAAAGAAGTAAGGGAATGGGCACACACGTGCTTAGCTTGCCAAAAGTGCAAGGTGATATGACACACCAAAAGCCCTCTTGGCATCTTTCTTCTCCCTGACGCTCGTCTCGAACACGTCCATATAGATTTGGTTGGACCCCTTCCTGAACCCCATGGATATACCTATATTTTGACTTGCATCGATCGATTCACACGATGGCCGGAAGCAGTACCCATCAAGGACGTATCTGCTGAAACAGTCACACGCGTCTTCGTGGAGATATGGATCGCCCATCCTCCATAACAATCGACCGCGGGCGGCAATTCGAAAGCTGCTTATTCTTCTCCCTGACTAAAATCATAGGTTACATGCGTTTCCGAACAACAGCCTACCATCCTCAAGCGAATGGTATGATAGAACTTCTACACAGACAGTCGAAAGCTGGTTTGTCAGCTGCAAACAGTACCCATTGGACTGAATTCCTTCCTTTAGTTCTCCTAGGGATACGAAACACCCTGAAAACCGATGCTGGTTTTACTACTACGACTGCCTGGTGAATTTGTTTCTCCCTCGAGCTTCCCACTAGCGGTAGATCACGCTTCATACGTCAGCAGGCTTACAAACGCAATGCGTTCAGTTAAACCTGCTCCCCTTTGTCAACAGTCCATTGATGTCTTTAATCACCCGTGTTTAAAAACTTCTTCGCATGTATTTGTTCGTCGCGACTCTGTGCGTCGACCTCTGGATCCACCATACGACGGACCATATAACTTAATTAAACGTATGGATAAATCATTATTCTCAGACAAAAAGCGCAGAGAAGACACCGTCAGCATCGACCGGCTTACTTGGAAGGTAATCCTATTAGCCTAGAGCTGGGCGTACCCAACAATCCACAAGTAATCGAATATTCTTTAGTCGTCGAAGAAGTCACTAGCACGGCGTTAGTATACTCCGTACAATTCGCAAACGTCAAGACCGTCTACCTCTAAAATCTTAACAATAGCAAAAGTGGCAAATACTAGTGGAGTTCAAAATTGTATCCACTCACTCTAAAATTTCATCTTGTGATGAATGTACGTTCTCTGCTCAGCTGATGTCCTGTTTCCACTCTCTGTTTGGGACTGTTGCTCTGTCTGTTACACGTGCACACTTCAGAGGTAAATAAGTAATCCCTACTAAATGCTTAAGGCCATACATTTTTCTGGAGGGAAACGGTCTCTCGCATCTCCCATGTCTCCATGAATCTTTTCGCAACATCCAGTTAGAGAAACGTTTGGTCGTACACATAGTTGTATGAATTTATGAGGTCATTATTGAAAAATCTTGAGAAAATAACCTGATGGTTAGCTCAACGCCGAAGTATACTTATTATTTTATTATTCATTTTATCCCTTTGTGTTCCCAGTGGAACATACGGCTTCAAGAGAGAGCTATGAAATTTCAGTAGCAGTGGTTTTATTTGTACCAGGTAAGATTCCTAGTCTTTCTCTCTTTGCCAAGCATACTACCAACTAAGTGAGGTTTGCGAGTGCCTTGTCGGCCTGGGATTGAATCCCGCACCATTTGAGTGGTTGACCAATTTTTTACCACTAATTCACCGACACTTGGTAAATTGTGCTAGGACCAGTTAAACACGATTCACCCCCAACCATCTTGTCTCTTATTCACTTGAAGGAACATAACTTATAATAAAGATATTTCAAGGAATTCATTCTAATTTGTTCACAATCATAGTTTATTATAATTATATTACGCATCTTATCATAAGGATCGTTTTTATAAATCCTTTTGTATAAAATCAACTTTTAAACTCCGTGTTAGTATTTCTGCTTATTTTCTCTCATACAGTCTGCACGTCATCTTTCTGCAACAACATGTATTCCTACTGTTGACCTTAAACCACACCATTTTTTACAATGCATAACCGAAAAGACGACGTAAGGACAGTTTTCAAGCATCTGGATTACAAGTGACTTACAATAGTGAGCATTCCTCCCTCCATCAAACTCAAATTCACTCAATATCAAAAGGAGTATCTATTACTTAACACAAAGAGAAAGGAATTGCACCACGAATATTCAATCAGGAGAAACACATTAATTGAAACTTTTGAATTGTTACAGCGTTCACGGGGAAATATCACTAGTGAAATATGTAAAAATAAAAACTCCTGAAACTCAAATAAAATATTAGTTAAAAGAGATCTTGGGAACAGCAGAATTTCGATTCACGTTATATGGTTCAGATAGGAATCAGGGACGATTTTCTCCACACTGAGTAACATTTCTAGACCTCTTGTGCTGTACGAGGAACGTTTTCTTTCAACCATTGTACAATTGTCTGGAGGTGGGTGTCAAGCCATTTCAAATTTCGCTTCGAGGTAGTTAGCAAGTTCTTCAGTTCCCCTTTGAGTGTATGATTCTGTGGTAACTGTAGCCAATCAGCCTCTGTTCTCAGTATCTGTAAAGGAAATGAGATGTGTTATGTTCATGTTTGCAGTTATGAAAAACATGTTTCGAAGAAGAATATATAAAATATCTCTACAGTAATGAAATGAAGGCGCATGTATTCAGGTGTCACTTGTAAGTGAGTATGTTGTGAGTATGTATAATTATCGTCCACTAATACTATTTATTCAGTCCTGATGCACACAAATACAATAACTGTAAGATTTCTGATTAAACACCAGGCACTGACCAATTTCCTCTGTTGTCCTGTTCTTCGTTTCACGCCAACTGAATTCTATCAGTTAGGTGTGCAATTTGGTCACCAATGTGCTAGCTGACTTGCCATCACGGTGCAGTTTGGATCGTTAGGGTATAACTACATTCACCCACTTCTTCAATCAAAGACATTACCACTACTATTGAACCATTCATTATCGTGATTGATCTTCTGTGAGACTGTAGTGGATGCTTTGTCTGGAAACTAGGCAGTAAATGGTATCATGTGTGTCATTCTTCTTTTGGCGTAGACAGAATTCAGTCATATGACAAGCACGAAACCAAGGCCCAAGGCTTCCTGCTGGCTGCCTCCAACTACCTCACTTCAAGTGAACATAGATAAAACAGAGGTGATGAAGATTACTGGCCAACATCAACAGCAACAAAAACAGGCAACAACCAGCCAGCATATATGGGAGGAAAATGAAAGAAACAACCTCCTTTACCTACGTGCCTGGGAAGCATCGTTTCAACTATAGGCGGCAGAACTGACGAGGATATCACAGCACAGAAAATCGGGAAAGCAAGACAGGCTTTCATTACACTGAAGTCTGTGTGGAGGTCAACAGCACTCAGAATCAAAAATAACATCCGGATTTTCAACTCCAATGTGAAGTCAGTGCTACTCACTATACGGATCAGAGACTTGGCGAGTCATAAAGAGCACCTCAAACAAACTACACACCTTCATTAACAGTTTTCTTCACTCAATACTACTCAAGATTAGATGGCCAGTCAGAAAAGATCAGCAACAGGGATCTCTGGCAATGAGCGAACCAACACAGCAGGAACCGATTGTGAAACAAATAGGCAAAAAGAAATGGAGATGGATTGGCCATACTCTGAGGAAACCATCAAGTGACATCACACGCCAGGCCATCGCTTGAGTGGAACCCGAAAGGGAAGCGGCGAGTTGGTCGTCAGTGCAAGGTTGACTTGGAGGAGGTCATGTGAAGAGGAGATGAAAACATGTGGATAGACTTGGAGCGGGGTGAAGAAGTTGGCACATTACAGAAGGCAATGGATATGCGCAGCTGAAGCCCTATGTTCCTCAAGGAATTAAAGGATAAAATAATAATAATAACCTCACAAAAACCACAAGATTTCTGGACTAATTTCATGAGAATGAAGTGTAATTTAACCACTCACGATTCAAGTATACAACCGGTTCACCTTCTGCTATTACCAAAATTTAAACATGTAAGATACTTCCAGTCTTCCGTGTCACTGTACATCAGCAAATCTTATGCTCCAGGCATTATCACACTATACGCGTCATTCAGAGGACATTATTAAAATGTTCCTTTTCCACAAAAACACCAGGCGTTTAAAAATACATTCATAGAAGTAATCTTTGACGACTTCTCAAGAATTATATATATATATATATATATATATATATATATATATGCAAGATAAGATTTTTGACAGCAGAATCAGTTACATTAATTCATGGAGAGTCAAAAATAATCGCGCGAATTGCAATAGCTACTTTCTACGTAGTTAAGTAGCTTATAATCATTCGCATAAATAAATCAAACTTTATGTGAGAAGAATATTTTGTTCAGGCACTGTGGTACTTAAGTATGATCTCATATCAGTCATGTTTATCTGAAATAATACACAGAAATACATTAATATTAAATGGATCACTTTTCCAACACAACTCATTGTAGGCACTCATACGTACGATCATTACAAAGAGATGAGTGAATTGAAGTTACCTTGGCATTTTGTCGCTCAAAAAATATTCGCATTAAACCACTTCTCACTTCATTTTATTTGTGCATTCCAGTGTGGGTTAAGTAGATTTATGGAAATTCATTTAAAGTTTAACTTTGATTTCCAATATTAGAATACTTAATCATAATTCCATCTGACTGCTGTGAAACAGCTTCCAAACAACCTAAAATTAGTGCGACTATTCAAAATATACGAGTTTCACGGAGTACTTTGTAGTTGCCATTTGTCAAGGACAAACTCCACTTGATGTAATCAGAGGAGCATGATTGCATCCCACAGTGAAAAGTTCAAGGTCTAGCAACAGTTCATGTTGAACACCTCCTATATTAGTGGACCTAAATTATTCGGACCACAAACAAGTAGCGTCACTTGCTGTGATGTCAATTAATTTGTGTGTCTCTGCGTCATGGCAAGATAAATCATTTCTGCACAGATCCCCATTTCATCGGTTTCAGAACCACTGAACCAACAGGCACAGCTGTTCCATTCAAGTCTGATACTCTTTAGGAATGCTCACCCACATCTGTAGGCACTCACTGGGGTTCGAACCCAGGAACTTCAGGTCACAGAGCGACGCCATAACCCATTTAGCCACTGGATCCTGATACGACGACCAGCCCATGAATTCCAACTTCTATCAATTCGTGGTATATATATATACATATTGCAATCGTCAGTTAATGGTTTATGCGAGTTACTGTACTCTTACCTGACTTCGTGGATCTCACTGGTCACGAGTACCCCTTTATAAACACACACTTGTACGTATCAACACATTCATACTAAATTTTATTTTCTAACACATGCACACTGTATTTTACAATCAGTGCGTTGAAGAACAGTGAAAATTATCATGTTGAAATCAGACTCACCTTTTCCCCATCATTTCTGTTATTCAAGCTGTAATATGGATTAGAAAGTCTCTGGATCACTTCTTTGGTGAATTCATCACTGAAAAAGAAAAGCGTGTGAAAGTCAACATTGTAAAGGTGAAATTAAAAGCGATAAAGTTAATTATGCTAACACAGTGTAAGCGATTTAACTGTCTTATAGGTTACACATTAATTATTACCAGTATTATTACTATTGTAACAACAGAAGACAAGGGCCGGCAACAGATCGCTTTATTACGGAAGTCAGCAAGTATTTGTATATATTTCATGCACATTATTATACCTTATTCAAGCAGACAAACACAGTCTTCTGATTGGTTGTTTCTGGTTTCTCGGAAAGTTAAGCCATACATCTGCGAATCATATTTGCCCACATTAAGTCTGTTGTGATTGGTTGTTGAATCAGCCTTGTTCATATTTTCTCACAGCCAATATTGGTGACCTAGACATTGACGTAAATTAATGTCTACCAATTGGCTAGCAGCCTGCTCTCATCACACTATTATCTGCTTTGGTTCCGAAAGGAAAATAGGGCTTCATCCTCACGTCTCAATTGCATTCGGTCCTCTGCCAACGTTTTCAGCTGGCTCCACGTCTGACCACATACTTTCATCTCCTCTTCACATCACCACCTCCTGTTCATGTCACCCTTACAATGACGACCAACTCAAAGCTTCCTTTTCGGGTTCCACTCGAGAAAGAGAAAGTCTGGAGTGTGATGCCACTTGATGGTTTTCTCAAACTATGGCCAATCCACCTCCATTTCTTCCTGCATATTTGCTGCACAATTGGTCCCTGGTTGGTTCGCTCATTGCCAGAAATCTCTTCCTGTTACTGATCATTTCTGGCCATTTGATCTTGAGTATTCAGCAAAGATGGCTGTAGACGAAAGTCTGTAGATTGTTTGAAGTGCTCTTTGTGACGCGCCCAGTCTCTGATACACAAAGTAGCACCGACTTCACAATGGAGTTGGAAATCTGGATCTTATTTTTGATGCTGAGTGCTGTTGATCTACACACAGACTTGCCTTGTTTTCCCGATCCTCGCTTTGAGATCCTCATCAGTTCCGTCCGCCTATAGTTGAACCTGTGCTTCGCAGATAGGTAAAGGAGGTCGATTCTTTCAGAATCTTTCCATTTGTGCTGATTGTTGCCTGTTGTTGTTGCCGTCGGCCAGGAATCTTCGTCACATCTGTCCTCCCTTTGTTCACTTGGAGTTCTATCTTCGATACTTCTTCTCCCAACTTGTTGCTTTTCATTTGCATATCTTCTATTTTTTGTGAAATCAGGCACATATTGTCAGTGAAATCCAGAACCTCCAAGTATTTTGTGTGGGTCCATTTTATGCTTGTCTTCTCGTGCCTCGCTGTCTGTCGCGTTATGCAGTCTACCGAAATCAGGAAAATCATTGGAGATTTTTAGCAGCCAGCCGGCCTCGTATTACTCCTGCCTTTACTTCGACGGTTTCCGTGAGTTTCCCAATGATTATTACTAGCAACAAACAGATTCCAAATAAGGCTGTCAACCGCAATTGCAGATTTCATTTAAACAACACTTTCATGTTCATGATATTTCAAAGTTTCAATTTATGTACTGCGTTACATCCATAGAACAAACAATGACGGTGATTACTTCTCCTTGTGGATAATTAGCATAAACATAAATTCATATGACACACACGAAAATCACCTTTCCTGCCAAGAAGAGGAAAGCCGTTAGCTTATCCAAAATCTAGACTGGCGCACTTCCAGACATAGTACAGTCATCACTGTATGAATACCAAAGGAATTTGCAGAACAGCAAAGTTGTTCAAGGAGGAATCTCACACAAGTTAAATGAATTTCTGAGAATGAAATTTAACAGTTGGTTTGAATTCTTAATGCAATGGAAATCAATGGTGATAGAACTCACATATCAGTTGGGGAACGTGTTGAATTTTCCATGCTGTAAAAGAAATAGACGAATCATTTGTTAGAACTAATTCGATTTAATCAACTTCCATACAGGTTTTGATCATTAGGTTAAATATTCTACATTTAATTAACTAGAGGTCACTTATTGAAACATTTCCGCAGTATAATCAGCTACAGTTGAATATATTACGTTTAGTAATTATGAGTTAATTAGTTCCAGTCATCTGTCACTGAGGATTCCTCTTTTTAAACACCAGTCATTACTCAGATATACCTTCACAATTTGCTTAGAAAGATGTTGTGAAAGTATGTAGAAAGGAGTCGGCTATATTCCCCTTTATTGTGCTTTCAATGTGTATGTCCAAAATGTGTACATCTGGACATTTTATTAGAGTGTTTTCACTCAGTTATAAACTCGTCAGAGTATTCCTTATATCTTGAGGCATTTGTATAAAACTAAAACTCGGATGTCAGGAACACTTTTGTGTGGAAACTCATAAAATCTTAAAGGTTTATTAACCCGATGACAGGTAGTTCAAATGAAATATTTTCTATGTAGCAATATCGAGGTTACTGGCTTCACTGACATACACGGAAAAATTATTGGGACCGATGTACTGAACGACGCAGAAACCGAAAGTGTGAGATATAAATGGCAATACTTAGACGGTAAATATGTCGTCTATTATAGCTTGACCCCAACAGTGCTACTGCCAACCAGTGCTTCATGACTTATAAATTTTCCATACAATGAGTAATGCAGTTACTAATTTTATGTTGCTGACTCTAGTCTTGGTAATTTTCCATCTAATGTTTTGCAATTTGCATGCATAAATGAGTAGATTACAAGTTGAGGAGAACGGATGCTGAGTGTTCCATAGTACGCCACGCCTCATCATCGAACAGAGCATAGAAGAATGGCAGTCGGATCTCCATATTCAGCTTCATCCGACTTGAAAAAGTCTTCAAAGAGTTGACCACGAAGTTATTCTGAAACTACTTCTGCACTACAGAGTACACTGAACCTGCTTCAGTTTCATTCAACAGTTTTATGATGATGCCACCTGTCAACTGATTCACAACGGAAAACTCACATGAGTTAGACAAGGCTGCCCACTACTATCCCCGATGATATTCCGAATTGTTGTGAACTAGATTATTCACTGTGCTTCAGAGTGAGAAGACAGGAATATATTGCATGGATAAGAAGATTCTAGAAGATCTGGGTTTCGCGCATGATTTTTCTGATCTTTGTTTTGGAGATCTACAGGCGGAAACCAACAAGTTGACGGTAGGGGCTAGCAGCAAAGACAGGAGTTCAAGTAAACATAGTGGAATAGGAGGTGATGAAGTTAAAGAACCACTCTAAAACAATAGCAACCAACAATCACCATTGACAGAAGGAATTTGAAGGAATGATCTTCTCAACTATGGTTGACAAGTTTAAGAACATCAAATTCTACATCGGGAAGGCAAGGCAGGAATTCATCAGCCCACAGTCAGAATGGAAATCTTCCACGGTCATTATAAAGAAGAAGATTCGGAATATCAACACTAATAACATCAGAAAAATTTCTCTCCTATATGGTTCGCCCATTCAAAATTATTCAACTGGAATGATTACTTTATTTTGTTGCAGAGTCCACCTTACAAACTCACCAGACGTTATATGAGTGGCTTTCTGATAATATTGTTTCTACTCCACTGATGTCATCTTAGGGTTGAGTCACGTAGTCACGCTCAACAATAGTCAGACAAAATGTCATAAAAATATGAATAAAAATGTACGAATCAACAGGGAAAATGCAAATGTCATAAGTGAATGACAGATCGTTTGTTCCATTAAATGTCATGGATAAATTATAAGGTAAATTCAAAATACATCTCAAGCTCAACTCACCCAGTTTTCAAAGATTTGACCGCTTCATGCACATAGTCCCACAACATTCTGTTACCGATTGGAGATACTGCGAATTCAGGAATCGCTGACCAGTATTGTTTGTCTTGTTTAATCCAATCAAAGTATCTGGATGTGAACAAAACCAGGAGGAGACAGTGACGTCATCATCATCATTATCAGAATGTGACAGTTAATGTTGAGGGATTCATTCTGTCTCTTTGAATACCTACAGACCTGATACCTGAATATCACATTTGTGTTGTGTCACCAACTGAAACGACGAGTTTCATAGTCGTCGTCAATTTAAGGAAACAGGAATGTAAGGAAGAAGGCGAATAGTGGCAGAAGACAGAAACAAAACGATGAGAAGTTACTTCTCCGTCAAGTCAGGGGGTTCTATGGCGTCTAGCAGCAATAGTTCGGTTATTCCCTGCCTCCATATAATTCTTTCTTATTAACCAAAGTTCATTGTGTATTTTGCATCCTCTATAGAAAACATTTCACCTAAAGACAAGTTATTCCCTCTGAAATTCGATTCTCTGTAACTTTAAACCTTAAATTTTTGGTTATTTTTATTATCGAAACCCTTAAGTCCCTAACAGTCTTGACAACTCACTCGGTGGCCATCATCATGATCACCATAAATGTTTAGATTATTTGATAAGGTCGGGTATTTTATCAACTATTTTCTTTCACATAAACAGTTCATTACAAAAAAAGACTTAAGTGATAACAATTTTGACAGTGAATTGAACATAATCAGTGTTAACTTGCTTATTCGACTAAATTGAAAGGCATAAAATGAAATTCTGATTGATGACACATGGTCTAGTCTTTCTTCGTTTTCAATGAACAAACATCGGACGAATTAACTGTTAATATTATATACACTTACAGTTTCATCGTCCATATATCACGAGAACAAGATAATCCCGTCAAGATATTTTCTTTTTCAACATCTTCCGTCTCATTAACATTGTACTGACTTCTGAGAAATTTCCATTCTGCTTGCCCACCAAATCGGATAGCTGTACAGTAGACGACTGATCTCAAACCAGGCGGTATGCTATGGAATGTGTATTCAGAGTTAACAGGAGGTAGAATAGGCAATATATAATCAGACTAAAGAAGACAAATTTTGAATCAGGTTGATTAACTATCTCACCTGATGATAAGAACTGGATGTTAATTATGGTTTCACCTTTGTATAGCAATAGTTGTTTGGGAAGTCCCTCTTGGATGATTTATTTACGATATTGTTACTTATTTAGACATTCCAACCAACTCTGTGATTATTATCCCTTTTTGTCCTAGACTGTCCATCAACGTTCTGACGTTCTTGTGTTGTCTGATGACACAGTCCTCATTATTTGTCCTTGTTTCTGTTCAATCTCCAATTTTAATGCTTCTCTTTATGGTTGTATTATGACATCTGTAATGTGTTATTTTTTGACAGCGATTATGTTCTAGAGAGTCAAGGTGATTCTGAACTTCGATTGTCTTCAGGAATTGTTTGGTGTGTGTGTGTGTGACTTGCTAAGAGAGTTTCAATCCCACCTAGTTGGAAATATACTTCTTGATTCCTAAGTACCTTATACGGTTGATCTAGACTGAATAATTCTGTTGTATAATACTTCTCTCGTATCTGAGATCTGATTTGATCTGCATACCTGCCTAATGGGATTGTTGAGGTAATTTTGCATTTCCATATGTTATGATTGTATTTACTTGTACCGTGGTATTTATCATAAACAGCTGTCTTTTTACTACTGTCCAGACGTTTTTGTGACTGTGAGTAAATGATATAAAGAACTTATGGTGGCCTGTTTAAATCACTGGCCAACCGAAACTGCTTTCCACCATAATGCTTAATTTCATGGGGATTTATCGTTGTTTTAATTGTTCAGATGTATCAAATAACCTATAGATGAAATTCAGCGCTGATTCAACTTGTTTCCAAGTAAACGCTGTGAAGTTCTTCAAGGAAACAAAGATATACTTCAGATTATTACTTTACATGTAAATCGTCTTTCAAGAAAAAATCATTTTGGAACTTAATACACTGAAGATTTTTGTACTATATGTTCACATATTGTGTGAAATAACGCTTTATTATTATTACTATTATTAATAATTTATTGTTAGCTTTACAGTAGAACACAATGAATCGGTTTCCTGCTTTCAAACCACAACACCCCAATTTTTGGTCGTTACTGCCTTTTCTCCAGTGTTTCTTCGAAGTTTGCGTTGAAACTTGCCTGTAAACAGATTACTAAGTATTTTTAGGTATTTTGCAACAATCTCTACCCCATTTAACAATAGATTTGCTTGACAGAGAGCTTACTGCATGCTTGAATCTCGATTCCCCCTATAGAATTAAACCATAACTACGGTTAATGAATTATGGGGAGAAAATTTAGCACCTTTCGGAGAGTCATATCTATGAAGAATGCATATTTCGAGGATATAGACGAGTCAAATATTTGACACTATCAAATGGAGGCCAATTATTGGTTTGTAGGGATTAGACTGACTGGTTACGGGATTCCACCATGAGCTGTCGTAAATTGTTCAATGGATCTGGTACCAGCGGCTTAGTTGTCTACGAGCTAGATCGCCTTGTAACCAGAAGGACCTGGATTCGGTCTCCGGTAGGCGCGTATTGGCGAAGAGTCCCAAACAAGACTGATGAAACGGCTGTCTGTCCAGTACTCCCTGCAAGTTTTCCAATAATTGAAGGCCAAATCAGTACATCTGTTATGAACAGGTCATCCACCAGCCACTTCATCATCAATCAATTTTGTCAAGATATTTCAATAATATGTGATCGACAAGTTGAGGTTTGTCAAAGAAGTGAGTTCCTATGAAATTCTCTTGAAATATATTTCAACTTCATACTCCAATAATGTTTATTCTGCTGTGGTACACTGATCGCCCAAAATATGTTTACCAGTAATATGTATCTTTAACGAGAAATGGATTCAATAACACCGTAATGTCCATCAGTCATGAGAATTCTTCACTGATCTTGATTCATCCATCTATTTAGTTATGAAATTCATGTCACATTAATGAGTTTCCCTACCGTTTGACTCATCTCAAGAGATCTTAAAACAAGTAAGTGTTCAGATTCGTTGGTTGATCAATAAAACGTGCCTCAGAATGCCATAAATGAGAGATGGACATCTGCATCTTTGGAATATTTTGACATTCAACTAGACTAAATGATACTCTAAATGAAATTACGTCAGCTTTCCATCTTTATATTGGAAAGTGTCACTATATTACCCACAAATAATGGTAAGTGGAGTGCTCTCCAAGACTAAATACATGGAACAATCTGGACAACTTCTCTTAACAACACATCTCGAAAATGTTACTGTTGCTCTTCAAATCACTTCCACATCGATTCAAACAAAATGTCTAGGCGACTATCTCATTATAACATCAAAATAAAAGTTAATGTTTCTTGAATAACTCACGGATTCGTCACAGGTTCCGACATCCATAGTGTGAATAACACTCTAGCAGTGAGTAAACATAATTCATGTTCAACATGACAAGCAATTTCCCCCAAGGTTCCGCGTAACAAACTGAAGATCAACAACAAAACGAGACAAGAAATCAAATGCAAATCAACCTTTTTTGATGAGGTTTAAGTCATTGACAACTGAATATGAAGCACATAGATGACCAGAAATACGTGCCTACAAATTTATTCCACACAACGTTCAGATACATGCAAAGAAAATCAGTATATGCTAAAACATGCTGCATCGCTAAAATCTTCATGAGTAAGTGAAAATTATCGATTGTTAAACATTTCATTCCTAATCACTTTTCTCTATTCCCATAGCTCTAGCTCTTGGCCAGACTTTACTTCAACTCTTTTCACTCCCATCAACTATGTTATGTGTCTCTATTTAACGATTTAATTCCACTTTAATCTCTAACTGATTAATGATTCTGTATTGAGCGAATTTCTTTAGAATCTTGGCGTTTATCTAGAAAACCGAAAATTTTAGTGATGCGCTTCTTAATTAAATCACCCAGCTCAGGGAACACAACCTCATTCAAATGTATGGAAGCATTCGGAGATTAGAGGTACCTGAAGATTTCTTAATCATATTTCTTAATCCATTAGTCTTGAAATACCACTGCCATTAGCACTACATTTGACATAACAATTAGGCATAATTAGTGTGACGAATGAATGATTAAGAAAGCTATAAAATTTACTGTTTCTCTTCATTGCGATCTTCTCTCATAGTTATCCAATCAACGTCTCTCACAGCTGCATTTACAAGGAGACGTACATATGCTTGATAATCTCCGTAATTCTCATCCAAAAGAAGCATACGGTCAAGATAGAGAAGAGCTCTTCCGGCAGTTGTCCAAGGCACATATTGCGTTTCTTGGCTCAAATATTTCGTCAAGTTCAGGAAAGTAGTGAATGATACGTTACCATGACTGGAAGAAAGTAGAAAATATGAGAGATTTTCAGTTATACTTTGATTGGACACTAGACAGTAGTAAATAGTTGTCATGTGTCTAGTCTTTTGTTCAATGCACACTGAATTTTCGTTTGCTATTTCGTTTTCAAACTGTCCTGATCAACACAAACTATCTCAGCCTTAAACGTTTCAACTCTTGGCATTCCGAATGGTGACACTCAGTATGTACTTCTCACTAAATTGAATTGAGATCTCATATTTTATCTTGAATATGTACAAGAACTTCAAAACCTAGTTCACCTTAATAATCCTACAGGTTGTTGATAGTTTTTGGGGCAATATGGTGTTTGAGATTCAGAAATACTTTGTTTTCCTCGAAACATTGAACAACCGATAACTGTTTAAATGTATCTCTTTTTACTAATGACATTAAGAAGGTCAAAATAGGCAGGGTGTAATGTTGGAGGAAAACGTTTACACTGTTTTTGAAGAAGAATGCAGTCTCTCATTCACTGTCTGAGATATCATGCTAGTGATGGGAGAAATATAAGCACATTTAATGTAACTATGAGTGGATTTCCACACACTGTACACTAAGATACACTTTGCAGTTCCTATTGAAACAACACAACTGAAGCAGGAACGTCTTGGCTACTAATTCACCTCCAAAGGAACTTTATTTAGGCTATAATTTCCACTATTGCGGATGAAGCATATGCGTATAAATTTTGTAGCAATCACCTGTTGTGTAAACTCATTACTATGTTATTATTAACGCTTTACCATGACACCATTAGACATGAGAATTTCAAGGAATAAATGCAAGACGAAATATCCATATCCTATTCCAGATGAAATTGTTAACAGCTCAGATATTTTGAAATGCTAAATAGGTGCTTTTCTTGACCTCTGTGAAATCATGAAACAAATCGAGAAAAATGAGGAAGATATCTGATGTTTCCAATGAACCAGTATAACAATATGAAGCCTTCTTATGAAAACAACTCGCCTACCAGATAGTAGGATAGTGCAGAGAAAGAACTAGAGGTGTATAGTTAACCTGACCACTGCTCATCAGTTAGTGATTCCATAGGTATATTTTTATTTTATGATCTTCGTTTAGTTAGTGATCACTTACTTTGCGAGATGGAATAAATCACCGATGATCTGTGGACGTGCAGAATCTGGAATACTCTGAAAATAGAAAATAGACCATATGAATTAACAGAAATTTTGAATGATCTTTGAATGCCATACTTGTGGAGATTCAAATTATTTCAAAGTTAATGTTTTTGTCTCACTAGGCAACACACATCAACTAGAAGAGAGCTGAAAACCAAGGAACTGCAAAAGGATTCTTCATACTAGAATGGGATTCTCCAGGAATCCACATTGATTACCTGATCACGGATAGAACACACACGACAAGGACGTCATCAACTCAGATTGTTTCCACATTCTAAAATTAGACAAATGTCTTTTGGCGGACAAAGTGTTTTTGTGAAGATATGGCTTCTGCAATATGAACTACAATTTTCTAAGTCATTTTGACAAACAGATTTCGGTGTTCTGTGAAATTTTAATTATTTCGTTTTACATATCTACAGATTTACTCCAGTGGGGAAATGTCCATCACACTGTGTAGTTATTCTTTTCAAGAAACATTCTAAGAGATAAATCAACTGGCCAACATTCTCGTGCATCATACCTTCTAACCGTTAACACATATTAAACATGATAGAAATCTTCCCTTTGTGTTAGCCTTCACCCTTTTTTATCTTGTACTAATTTGTGAGTTGTGGTTGAAGTAGAGACTCGGGAAGAAGACTGCCTTCTGTGGGAAAGAGATCTTTGAATTATTCATGCAGCTGAAAGGATTGATAAAATCAAATGAACATTGCGATCATGAAGTAAGGCGGCTGAGTTGGCGTTAATCAGTAAACATTTAATATTCGTCCTTCAATTAACACGTTTGCATTTCTTTACAAGGTAGTAATAAAATTACAAGATATCGTGTATATCCAACATGTTACCTCGTACATATCTCAGTCGAACACCCACTTTCTCTCCATATAGTCCGTTTCCTGCCTTTTGCTTATTCCTCAATGTCAACATGACAAACATTTCCTCAGGTTATGTAATTCACACATATCACACTTATAGGATGTTGTCAGCCACTTGTGTTCAGTTTAATGTAGGTCACTGAACAGATTCGTATCTAACCAGACTGTATCAGTGATTATAAGTGAATGACTCAATAACAGACCATTGTAACTTGATCATTTCTCTTATGGTCACTGTTATTACGAAATAAGATTTTTTAAATCAGTCCTACTTTCTCAGTAAATGGAACAACTTACCCTATAGTTTTTGAGTAATTCATCTATCAGTAATTCCCAATTATTGTCAACGTAATGAACTCTATAATATCCAGTCTGTCCAATATTGATTATGTACCAGTCATTTGGCATAACGTTGAGCTCCATCTTCAGAGTAGCTTTGAGATGAAGAAAATTAATATAACATTATGTACTCCATATATAATCGGCACTACACCTATAATGACTATATAAAAAAATACTCCGGCCCAATGAGTAATATTCTTATGATGAGAGCAGGCTGCTAGCTAAATTGGTAACAGTAATTTACGTCAATATTTATGTCCCAAATATTGGTCGTGAGAAAATATGAACAAAGACTTATTCAACAACCAACCACAGCAGACTTTGCGTAGGCGGATACATTTGATGACATACAGATGATCTGACATTCAAAAAACAGCCACAAAGAGATGAAAGATTAACTTTCAGTGAGAAGCAAGCGATCAGAAGACTGTGTTTGTTTGCTTGAATAATCTATAATAATGTACATGAAAATATATAAATACGTGTTGATTTCCTTAATAAACGATCTGTTGTATGGTGCTTGTCTTCTGTTGTTACATTCTTACATAGCAGTTAGTGTACTGTATGTTGCAACTGAATGCCGCACAGCTTAGAAGACAGTGAAATCGAAATGCACTCAAACAAATGATGTAGACTGGAATCGAATGAATCATAATAATGTTCAAATTGTCATTGTGGATTACGAATACTTGAAATTGGTTTTAGATCATTCCTATCACATGGACAAAGTCTTCGTCCGTCTGGGGATGGTCATTCGTAATTCCGCTTCACTAGACATTCTCCTTTCCACTTTATCTAATCTCCTTATGAATAAAATATTTAACGGGATAGGGGATGCATTTTATCTTGGAACTAGATATCTAATAGTATTGTAACAACAGAAGACAAGCACCATACAACAGATCGTTTATTAAGGAAATCAACACGTATTTATATATTTTCATGTACATTATTATAGATTATTCAAGCAAACAAACACAGTCTTCTGATCGGTTGCTTCTCACTGAAAGTTAATCTTTCATCTCTTTGTGGCTGTTTTTTGAATGTCAGATCATCTGTATGTCATCAAATGTATCCGCCTACGCAAAGTCTGCTGTGGTTGGTTGTTGAATAAGTCTTTGTTCATATTTTCTCACGACCAATATTTGGGACATAAATATTGACGTAAATTACTGTCCACCAATTTTGACTAACAGCCAACCTTCATCACAGTATAATTGAAAACAGCATAAACAAAGGAACTAAGACTTTCATATTGTATTAATCCCTAAATGTTTTATTTTAGTGTCTATATAAACGCAATCTAATAAAGCGTTTTATCTACCAAGTAAGAGAAATCTACTCTGATGAATGTCTTAATGAAGAGCTCACTACTAATAAACAACTGATGAGTAAAATCGAATACCCAGAGAAATTCATCGACAACAATATGAATGTGAATTCAAGGCAAGTAAGAGTACAAACAGTCCTTACAAATCCATCTCCTCAATGACGACCCCAGCGATTAATAATAGCGCAGCTTCTGAGTAATCCAGTGAAACGTTCATTCGTTGCCGCTGTCTCTTTATAACCACCCCTATTTTACCTAATTTTGCCTCTTCTGTGTAAATCTGTCAATTTGACTGTTCCTGTGGAGTCACTGTCATAGGGCGTACAGTTAGGCGTGTTTATCATTGGATTTCCTAACACCATCCTGCGTGTTTAAGCAAAGAAAAACAAGGTCCATTCATAACTCTATTATATATCTCATCTCGTGGATACAGAACACAAAATTGATGTTTACGATGCTCTGAAAGTTATCTACTGTATTCCGACAAACCTTAATTTTATGTCAAGAGTTCTTCTGTTATATATTACTGAAGCCGTCGGAATCTACATTAAGAAGACCATCTTATGAATCCGAAATAATTTAGTTCATATGCTCCCTCTTGCTTTTTTCATCAGTGTTTTAACTATCCCTAATTCCTATGCATTTTCTTAACCTTATACGATATTCTATTTAGTATTACATTTTCAGTGCTCATAATAAATTATGCATCTCCCTTGAACTGTAATTCCATTGATCCTAACAAATCGATATTATTGAAAAAGTATCATTATTATCAGTGACGATTATTATAGAATATATATATATATATGGATCGGACACTAACTGAGGAGACCGCTGGGTGACATCGCGCGCCAAGCCCTCGAGTGGAGCCCGAAAGGGAAGCGGCGTGTGGGACGTCCAAGCGTGACATGGAGGAGATCGTGTGAAGAGGAGTTGAAAGAATATGGATTAACATGGAGGCAGGCGAAAAGTATAGCAGAAGACAGAAGAAAATGGAGACGTGCAGTTGAAGCCCTATGTTCCACTAGGAACCCAAGGGAGCAATAATAATAATATATGTAATTATAGAGACATGAGTTCCTTCAAGGTTTCAGATACGCCTTCCTGACTGATGGGTGTCAACTAGCACGAAATCTAGGTCAAGTAAGGCTTCCTGTTGCCGATTACCTCCAACCAACTAATATCAACAATTCAAAGGGCTCCACGATGGCGAGCCACCTAGTAGCATGTTGGCCCTATTGCAAACTTGACTGATAGAATTCAGACTGCACCAAACAAAGGACTGGACACATGACACCAGTTACTAAGTGGTGTATTAAAAAGGAAATTTATTCCCTTGAACTTTTCTCTGTCTTCTAAATTTCTGAATACGAACTCTAGTTGTAGTAAAAATGTGTGAATTAATGATTCAATCGGTGTATTTTTCAACTATATGGGTCACAAATGAAGGTATCGAAGACAGTATCAGAAAAACATGACAGGTGTTCATTACTTTGAAATAATTTTGAAGATTCACACACACAAATAAACACTCAGCACAAAAATACGACATCTGGATTTTTAACACCACTGTCAAGTCAGCGCTTTTATGTGGTCCAGTGATTGGTGCGTCACCACAGGTATCTCCAACATGTCACTTTAAACCTTCATCAACACCTGCCTCCACTCGACAATGAAGACCAGACAGATAGCCAGAAAGAATAAGCATCAACAATCTCTTTGAGGGAGGCAAATAACCAAGAACCTACTGTCCAAGAAATATTCAGGAAGAAATGCAGGTGAATTGAACGTACACCGAAGAAGGATTCATTGATGTCACATACCAGGACGTGGAGTGGGATTCGACTACAAAGTGACGAACAGGTGGGTGGATAGGTAGGTAGGTAGGTAGGTGATGGATTGTTTTATTGAACTTGTGACCATTACAAGTATTCATATAGCATACAGCATACAGCACTACTTACCGTTGTTCATCCATATGATTTCATTCGCTGACCCATCCTTTGTCGTGTAAGTAATGGGGATTTTCCAAGTGAAACTAAGTAAACAAAATTTCAAATAAATGACACCAAAAAATATTTTCGTTGTTCTACCAGATGTGAAAGCTAAAATGATTGTGAAATATGCTATACATTCTCTTCTGTTTTATAAAGATTGACGATTAATTTGAAATTCAACTATGTAGCACTTCACATGTTTATAAACGAGGATTTTCGACAGGATTCTTCCATTTCCGTATACGGAGAAGTGACCGGACGTGAAAACTGATAAGTGGATTTTAGCCAGAACAAAATTTAACTGCATCTTTTAACTATGAAGCAAAGAAATCCAGGGTTTTAACAATTGCCAACTAATCAATTAGAATTCATGGGTCATGTGATCGGTTCCAAGTGTTTTAATGGTCTACGAGCTCGCCTTCTAACCAGAACCTCCTGGGTCCGAACCCTGACTGGTGCATACTGCTGATGGTTGACTGTTGATAGATAGATAGATAGAAGGAATTAATTACCTTGTGATAGATAACAGAGAGTCATATATCTTATAAGAATGGGTAGCTGATAAAGAACTAAAAAGTTGATGAACACAACTTTATATGAAGTCGACCATCTGTGAGTTATTGGCTTCATAGTACACCGATGAATACGCAGTAGTTCAATTCACCTAACAAGCAGCATAATTTCGGCTTATTTCTGTACTCCCATTTATAATATTAGAACAAGACATATAAGCGAACAATATTGTTTTCAATCACATCTTCTTCAGGCTTTACTCTAATTTACATAGACTTATATATATAAAATTTTAACCAATGACGGTGATTTTGTGGATCAAATAATAATAATCATAATAATAGTACTAATGTGGTAAATGTTTTGAACGAAGCTAATAACGATGATTATAATAATAACAAAATATTGTTAATAAGGCTTATATAGGTGATAGGAATAACAAAGTTAGTATATGCATATATGTAGACAATTCAATAAATAAATAAATTAGGTCAAATCAAATGGAACGATAATCAGAGTTTAAATAAATATCACAAAAGTACGAAGGAGAGGGATGATAAGAAAGGGTGGGAGGGTTTTGAATAGAATTCACCTAGGCAAGCAAGGGAGAGACAAAGGTAGAACAAATTTCTTTTGTATGCAAAGACTGGGATTGTTCTCTCGGATTCCCATAGCTTTGGCTAAGTGTAAAAGACGGGTTCTGATTCCGTTCGAATGACTCGATGGAATGCGGTAAATAACTTTGAAAGCACTATTTTTGTCCACTTGGTGACCACTATCAATCAAATGAGCCAAAATAGAACTTCGTATGGATTTTATTTGACCTTTTCCGAACCATGAAGGAAGATGCTCATTAATGCGTTTGTTGAACTGTCTAGTTGTTCGGCCTATATAGCTTTCTCCACAGGAGCAACTAAATTTATAGATACACATGGAAGTGGCACAACTAGGTAGCTTATCTTTCACTTGAGCAATCAAAATTGGTCGGCTGGAAAATGACTAACAGAGGGTGGCGGCAGTATAAGTCCGTTTTATCGCTCTCGATAATCTCTGATGTAAGACTTCACTAGCCACGTCCCCATTAAATTGCAGTTTCATGAACAGTTGTTTCTTTTTAACTGTTGTCGGTTTTACTTTATTGTACTTGGCATTCATGTGTCTCCTGAAAAATCTACTAGGATAACCCATTTGGACTAACGTATTTTGGATGTACCCTAGCTCATTCTCTAGGGAGTCATCTGTACAGATGCGTCTTGCTATATTCGTCAGTCATCTGACCAAATTGATCTTGTATCGGATTGGTACATAACTGAGGAAATGTGTATATTGTCCTACAGATGTAGGTTTTCTATAGACATCTCTCTTTAGTGAACCATCCTCTCTTCTGCTCAACTGGACGTCAAGGAAATGTAGTCCACCATCATATTCTTCTTCACAAGTGACGATGAGCGATGGATGTGCATCATTAAACTTTTTTAACATTTCATTCTTGTCAGCTTTCACATCAAGAATAATAAACGTATCATCAACACAACGAAAATAAGAATCAGCTTTTTCTATTACTTTTTTCAATGGACCATTTTCAATCTTGGCAAGAAAGAAATCTGCTAAAATTGGCCCCAACGGAGAACCCATGGCAATACCGCCGATTTGCCTGTAGTAAAGGTTGTTGAATATGAAATGTACATTCATAGTACATCTTAAAAGCAACTCTTTCAGACTACTAACCGGTATTCCGATGTCGATCTGTTTTTCTAGTATCTGTTGGCATATGAATTCTCCAGTCTCCATAAGTGGTACATTGGTAAACAGTGATGCTACATCTAAGGAAATCATTTGCTTCCCATTTACACTGATGTCATCAACGTTAGCAATAAATTCAAAGACGTCTTTAACACTATGACTTACTACCATCTTGTGTAACGGTTGGAGGAGTTCACCTAACCACATTAGTATTATTATTATGATTATTATCATTTGATCCACAAAATCACCGTCATTGGTTAAAATTTTATATATATATATATATAGTTATGTGCTTGTCGCCAAATTGTTATGTACTGGTCGAGAATTTAATAGTCCTGACGCAAGAAGGCGGAAATCAGAAGACGACTAGGTTTGCGATGATACTTCTATTTTCCAAACACAAGGAGAATGCAAAAGTGGTATCACACCAAAGTGTGAGCGAAATATATATGAATGTCCAGACAAGGGTGTGAACAAATCAATAGGCAGTCTTAACATGAATGGCTAATTATATTGGAGTGTCGATCCATATGTACATAGCAAAATATAGCAGACATGTCAACAACCACGCATATAATATGGATGTATGTCACCAAGCAACGGACTGTCAACAAACACTCATATTATATATAATATAAGGGGAATATACATTGTTTAAGGAGACAGGTTCATCAAAGTGAAATGGTCACAGACTAAGCAAGCGAACAGAAAGAGAGATCACCATACACATATATATATATAAGTCTATCTAAATTAGAGTAAAGCCTGAAGAAGATGTAATTGAAAACAACAATATTGTTCGCTTATATGTCTTGTTCTAATATTATTTCTGTACTACACACGATTCCGTCAAGTAAATGAGATGAAATTGTATACCTTTCAGACAGATAACTCGATACTCGGTAAATTACCCAAAAGGGTACGTCCAGTTTGATATGATATTCACTGCCCATCAGATTACCACACCTAATTTTTGCTTCTTCCAGCCAGTCTGATCCATTTTGATGAGCATTTAAGAATTGCGACTTACATCTTCATACTACAATTTTCATGTAGAGCATTCCAAGCTTCATATTTCTTCAAATGAACTATTCAAATGACCGGTAAATTAATATTGATTAATTTGGCTTTAGAAGAAGTCTTCTCCATTCATTATATATCTGTGTGCATATCGTAAGGAACTGTTCTTCTGTTACACAGTTATGCAACAAAACAAACATCTGCTAGTGCAAATGTTTGACTGCAGAGTAGTATGAGTACTTTTCACTCTTCTAAATAATCCCTCATCAAAGTGCAAAGTTTTTTCTCTATTTTAAACTATTTCTGAAAGGTGACAGAACCCTCCCATTTCCCATTTACTGCAAACTAACCGGACTTCGTTTTCACATGTCATTTATGGGAGATTCATAAGCAGTGATAGCTTTGAAATCATTCGAAGAGTACAAGGACAGGACACATTTTCACAGCTTCGTTCCTCTCAAGTACAAAAGAAATTTATTAATGACCCTCAGCCACAGGATTAGACCTATTTGCTCAGAAGAGGTAAGTGAAAATGAAATAAGGATTGTATATGATACCTTGATTGAAAATAGCTATCCAGACAAACTCATCAGCAAGGACATAACCAAGAAAGCAGAAAAGGACTATTCTCCATCTGTAAATAAGAAGCCTGAATACAAATGACTGGAATTCAAGGGCGATCAAACTAGCGAAATAATTACGAAGAAGTTCAGAAAATCAGTTTAAAGAACTTTTAATTCTGGCAAATTACCAGTCTTACTTTCCACACGACCGGTGGTCATTCCTCGATTGAAAGATGAAGTACCTAGACTAGCCATTTCTAACTGCATCTACGAATTTAACTGCGCTTATATCGGCCGTTACTCTAGGAACTTGATTTTTCGTGACTACCAGGAGACATCTACCAGTTTGGCCAAATAAAGGTGTAGGAACAGTTCGATATTAGACCACCTGGTTCGAACCGGCCATAAAGCAATCATTGAAGAATCCTTATCTATCATCCACTGGCTGCCAGATAAATTGCCAAAAACATCGAAGTACCACATGCTCCAAACAGCAGAGACTATCGCGATTCTCCTGAAACAACCTGTGCTTTGTGCTCAGAAGAAACAGGTCCAGCTAGCCACTACTACTGCCCTATCCGGCCTTCAGTAAAGACTATTAATTCATAAATTTGTAGTACTATTATTTTTCTTAATTTAACTGATATTCAGTGTATTGTTATGTCGTTGATGCTATCAAACTGTAATCAATTGATATAATTATTGTTATTGATTCGATGTTCTTTCAACATTATTGTTGTTAATAGCACTAATTCATTCACTATTATCTATATATAACTGTAGAACCTGATGTAAAGGAGGTTGTCGAAAGGAGTATACTTTGAAAATTTTAATGGACATTTTTAATCAGTTAGAATATTTTGCTGTGAATCAGCAAATTATAGAAGAATTTCAAATGTTACATCCCTTTACTAAATCATGAATCATTAAAAGGCACTTCCTATCCTTCCTATAGCTGGCCACAAATCGGGATAAATGTTACATAGATCCCAACAAGACACCATCATCTATTTGGCGAGATGGAAGAAATTGATGAAAAACACTCCACTCACTTGTATGGGGATGGCATAAGAGTATCATTAGACGACTCATAGAAATGAATCTGTTTGAAATCGAAGGTGTTGGAATCACTTCGGTTAACAATCAAAATTGGATAATTCATTTGCTTTGTCCAAGTATCCATGATTGATTTGATGTCG